TCCAGCCAACTCCTGTGATGCGGGTATTGATAAATTGGAAAAAATCTGACAGGAATTTCCAAAAATTACAGTCAGTTCATGTTTTGGACTTGATTATTTCAGGTAATACATCACTACAATAATTCATTCCTGGGAAATATAGGAACAAGAATAATTATTGAGGGTGAATAAATGAATGAATGGAGTTAGGGAAGAACAAACACAGAAAAGCTTAATATTTAGGTACATATTAGGCAAATTAAGTCCTTTCATCTCTTTTTCATTTTCTTATATTGATGAGACAGAAAATAATAATTGCTCCTCAACATGGCACATAAACTTACATATCTCTCAAACCAGGAAACTGTTTAGCAAATGGCACTGCAGTATTGGTTGAAAGCTGATATATAATAAAATAATAAAATCAACAATCACACACAGAATAAATTGTGCCAAATAATAGGGATAATTTCAAATTCAAGCACTTTAAATTCAGATTACACAGAATTAAGATTATCCAGCATCAGTTCATGCATACACAGGGTACAACCTGTTGCACTCAGTGGGCAAGATTTCACAATTTATTTTTAGAATAATTTCTTAGTCCATGATTCTGAGCTTGGGGTTTTTTAATGGACACAAGAGGCCTTGTCTTTTCTGTTTTTCATTGCTGAGGTAGCTAAAAATTGCACAAGCGCTCAGCTAAGTCCACAAACATGTTTATGTTTAAAACTACAGGCATAAAGGTTTGCAAAAGTTGTATTTACCACTCTGTGTCTCCCTCCTAAAAACTGCACTGGTGTTTGTGAGGATCAGGGATCAAATGAATTCACATGGAATGAAACAGAAAGTTTCCACCTGACCTTGCTGGGAGCTAGACTAGAACTTTCAGGAGGTAAAACATTTGCAGAGGACCAGGTAGTACTTTATTATGATTTATTAAATGTCAGTTTATATGAGTTTTATTGAATATGAGATTAGAGCAGTAGTTATTATATGACAGCACAGTGTTCTATGATTTACTCATGAAATGCTCTTTTTTTCTTCATCTGCAAATACCCTGCAGAGCTGAGGGGAAAACATGGCATCAGCTAAACCAAAGAAATGGAAATGAGAATAAACATATTTAAATCTTGAGGCACTGGAGAGTTTTATCATGCTCATCTCCTCTCTGGTGTTATTGATCTCTCTTAGTGAAGGAATCGGGCTATGAATATGACCTACAAATGTGGCAAAGATTTTTAACTTTATTATACTGGTTTGGAATTCAGTCTTCATTGGAACAGAAAGGGCAATTATTTGGGGGATGTGTGTGAGTCAAGGCAATTTGTTCAGAAAGGGAAGAGGAAGAGATTGGTAGCAGCCAAAGAAGAAAGCTGGAAAAGAAAAAACAGCTGGAAAGTTCTGAAACACTTAGTGTTCAGCTGGGATAATATGTGCTCAGATCTTGGGAAGCTGAGGATAATGGCACATGAATACATGAGGGTTGCTACAATTCTCCATTTTCACGGATGCCAGTAAGAATTTCTAGCACAGAACAAGGGGCTACATTTGCAATTATCACTTTTTTTAATTCCTATTCTATTGAAATTGAAGCATGAAGAACTTGATCCAAAGACTGGAGGCAGCAGGTATCTACATTTACTTCCAGACCCATCCAATTAAGCCAAAACTGGAGCCCTACCTTAAAGGCTTTTGGTGGCCTGCACCCAGGGTATTGAGAGGCTCCACTCTGGGATGAAGATCACAGCTGAGAACTACAGCCTGACTGAACTTTTTTAAGAAGGGTAATCCTGTCTGCCTAGGCAAGAGTTCCTTTCAACAGAACAAGACAAGCTTCTGAAGGCTCTCCCACAAGAACTAAGGGCAGTGCAAAACTTTTACTGTGTTGCTAAGAACAAGGTATGTTACTCTGTCCTTGTTCTCCTTTATACACACCCACTGCACATTTCCCTGTGCCTCTGTGTTGAAGAACATCACACAAACCTCTTTCCTAGAGACAAACGGACAACAGACTTATGCAGATGTTGGTCACTTTGTTGCTGGGATCCACAAAGTAATTGTCACTCCGGAACACACCAGGACACAGGAATTGTACAACTCCAAAGAGAAACCAAAGGGAAGTTTTGTCTTTATTTGTTCTCTGTTAAAAAGACAGACCAAGAGAGTGGGGGTTATTCAGCCTTCAGAAGAGAAGGCTCTAGGGAGACCTCTCAGTACCTAAAAAGGCCTAGAAGAAAGCTGGAGAGGGACATTTCATAATTTCATAAAGCTGTGTGGTGATAGGACAAGGGAGAGTGGCTTCAAACTGACACAGGGCAGGTTTAGATGAGATATTAGGAAGACATTCTCTACTGTGAGGATACTGAGGCACTAGCACAGGTTACCCAGAGAAGCTGTGGATGCCCTATCCCTGGAGGTGTTCAAGGCCAGAATAGAGCTCTCAGCAGCCTGGTGTAGCAGAAGGTGTCCCTGTCCATGGCAGGGATCTGGAACTGGATGACCTTAAGGTCCCTTCCAAACCAAACCATTCTATGATCCTAAGAATTTGCTGCTGCTATTTCTCTAATGAGCAATACACAGTAACTGCTTCAACTGAGCTTTATTGTTGATATTTAAACTTTCAGAAAAAAAAAAAGTTAACATATTTAAAATCTTAGGAAAAAAACCAGTTAGGACTGCAAATTCTTGCACCATTCTTTTTACACTTTTGGGTTGGATTTTTTCCTGATGTTGGCCGTGGTGCACACATAAATAAACGTTTTGTGCTCTGTTTCATTAGCCAAGGTTTAACTACAGACGCGTACACACAGAATGCCAGCTTGTGCCTCTGCTGCTCTTCAGCCACAGTTCCTCATGATAAAGTGGGATGTAACTGCTGCTTTGTCTGGTTTGGAAAGATTCTGTAGTCTGGTTACATCTCCAGCATTCCTCAGACCACAATTTCAACACAGAAAACATTCAGACCAGAGTGATGGGAGACAATGACAGTCATTTGAAATGAGGTTTGGCAACAGATTTTCTGACAAATGCTCTGGGATAATGCTTGCAGAGAGAATTGTGCTCCCGGAGATGTGACTTGTTAATTCAGTCTGAGGGAAGAAGATTCAGAGCCGTCATTTATTGGAACCTATTACAGGACTTAATCTGAAGATTTTGACATACTTCCAAGACAAATAGGCTACCAGGAGTGAGACATGTTCAATAAGGTGTGTATTGTAGGAAATGAGGGCTGTAATTGCCATGCTGAGAGAGCTTGTTGTCTATGCAGTTTAATGACCTTCCCCTGGCAGTGTCCCTTCCGACACAATGGGATTCAGAGATGAATCATGGAAAGGGTCTTTATCATCACACAGCAGACTGGACCGAGTGGTTACTGCTTATTACTGGTGGGCACCATAGCATTTGAGCCCCACAGAGTAAAACATTAGGAATTACATCTCCTGTAATGCTTGGGCCTCTTCATTAAACATCATGGGGGTGTTTGTAGTTTCCTTGTTACTCTGCAGTGGCCCAAGATTTTCAGCACAAGTTTTCTCTGTGCTTGCAAGAGTGAGTTAGACTGAAATGTGTACCAGATAGCTCCACTCAGCAGCACAGATCATGACAGAAACAAGAAGTCCAATCCTGTTTGTCCTTAGCACTTAACCAAGACTTAACTCAGTCTTTTTAGTCTTTCCTTGTGCAACAGTTTCCCCAGTCATGTCAGAATATCTGTCACCATTTTTTGATCTCTCTCCAACTTCTAATTTTCCCACCTGATACTGAGGCAGGAAAAGAAATTTGCTATCTTAGCTGCAATCCACATTATTGCGGAAAAAAGGCGGAATGAGATGTGCAAAGACATAGGTCACTTAATGTGCAGGGCTGCAACAACAAAAGAAATACTTAAAAAAAATATAAGGTGTAGAAATTAAACAACATTTTTAAAACCTGAAAAATACTGAAGACTACCCTACATGTAACAATTTCCCCCTGTACTACCTATTTTCATAAATGTTCTTGTGGTTATTTCTACGGCACTACTTTGGGGCTTCAAGGAATGCTGGAGCTTCTATCCCCCAGCATATTTTATTGCTGCAAGAACAGCAGGTCTTGATAACTAATTTTCATTTCTTTAGTTTAGAGCGCTTTTATGTAAGAAGTTGCCTAAGATTTGCTTCTTTTACAGTTCTGACATTCTAGGTGGTGCTGTTTTCAGGATGTGCTTCTTACAGATGCACCAAATTGAGTGATTGGATGGCTGGCAGAGTTACAATCTGGCCCTAAAATCTGAGTGGCCATTTAGTGCTTGTGAAGTGACAGAAAATTAGGGTTACTAAGATTTCTTTCACCTAACATGGAAGAAATTTTGTTTTCCTAGACGTGGCATATGGTCTGCTTTTCCGACCAGCCAGTGCTAACAACAAATACCACCACTAGGAGAAAGTGATTTCAGTACATCAACCGGAGTTTGCTAGCATTTCCAGCCCCTCCTTTGGGGCCTCAAAGCAACGTTTGGAAGCGTGGCTAAGTTTTCACTGGTTTCTCTAAGTTTTTCTCGGTACACCAGCACTGCGGTAGTGCCTTCAAATTCCTCTTCGCACCAGGACACCTGTATGTGTATATATATATATAGACACACATATATATACATATATACACATATATAGAGCATTAATTTCGTTTTATCTTTGCCATGTCCCTCCACAGCAGCCCCCCAGGGAGGAAGCGAACAATGAGCCCGAGGTTTGCCGTGCTGGAGCGGTTCCCAGGGTACTTTCCATGCTCCAAGTGAGCGCAGCTTTCTCGGCGCAGGGAGCCCCGGGAGGGCCCGATCGGGGCCTGCCTGGGGCGGACCCCACAACCAGGGCCTCAGCGCAGGGCTGGCCGGAGCAGCGGGCAGGGCCTGGGGCGCAGGAGGGACCCGGCCAGCCCCCTTCGCTCCATCCTCGGGCCCATTTCTGCCCCACCGGCGCCCCCGGCCCGCCTCGCCCCGGCCCCGCCCCGGAAGCGCCTCTGGCCTGCCCGGAACCTCGGCAGCCGGAACGCAGCTTGGCGGCGCCGGGGCCGGGCCGGAGCGCGGCGCCAGCTGGGCCGTGAGGAAGATGGCGGCGGCCGTGGTGGGCCCACGTGGGCGCGGGGCCGCGGGCACGGAGATGGACACGGACAGCGGTAACGGCAGCAGGCACGGGGTTGGGGCCCTCTCTTCTTCTGAAGCATCGCCGGCCGCCGCTGTGGGCCGTTTCTGACCTTGGAGGCTTCTCCTCTCTGCCCCGTCCCAGCCCGCCGGTGGGTCCGTGCCCCTTCACCCCCCCGGCTCCGGACCCGGGCCGAGGCTGGTGCCGGTCGGCGTGGGGGGAACGGGAGCTCCGGCCCCGGCCTGGCCCCTGCTGAGGCCGCTTCTAGCGGCGTGGGCGGTGGCTGCCATTGGCGCGGGGCCTGCTGGCTGCTCCTGCGCTGGCCCTTGGGCTGTTCCCACTCAGCCCGGGAGTACCGCCCACAGCTCCTTAATTCCCTCGGCCCACCAAAACAGCTTTCGCTGCCCACTTTCCTGGGAGAGAGGGGAACGACTGCAGAGCTGCACGAGTTCCGTGTCTGTGCCAGCCGGGATCTGCTTCTCACCGAAGGAGAGCCCTGGGACGCTCTCGTTTCAGTGATTAACCCTTAGCGCACGGTTCTGCATCGTTCTTGCCTCCTTGCGTGTTATGAGAGTGTTGCTAACCAGTTGTGATCACTTCTTCGTTCTATCCTGTGACTGGACTTCTTTTTCTCTTTATTCTGGGAGGAGTCAGGGTTGTGGCCGTTTGGAGCTGTGGCTCCAGCATTGGCTCTGTTTGGTTTGAGCGCCAGAATTGAACCCAAAGGGAAGCGTTGTGTGGGAGCTTCTTTCAGAGCTCGTTGCTTAAAGTTCGCTGCGTTTTAATTGTGTCTACACCTTGATCACTGAGCGAGTCTGAAAGAGTGAGATAGAGAGATGTGTATGTGTATTTCACAGCAACACACACAGAAACAATTAAAACTTTTTATATTAAATCTATGCTAGATATCAGTCTTTCTTATTCAGAATAGGGCCCCAGGTCCTACTTCTGATTGAGTTAATCTGGTTTAAATTATTTTGAAATACCTCCTCTTTATCTCATGCTGTTGACTGATACTCTGATGTATTAAAGAATAAATTATGGCAGGTAGTGGAAACCTTGTTAATTTTTCTGTAATTGTTGAAAGCAAAATGTTGTTGGTATTCTCCAATTTTATTGGCAGAAGATGTTATGTAAAGGAAATGATACATGTTTTTGCAAATTTCCTTTTTATAAGTCTGATCTGTTTTTTATGGCTAACTGCAAAAGTTCACCCTAAGCAGTGTGGGGGAGTCAGATTTGGACTTTCTGTAGGTGTTTGCTTTTGTGTGTGTAAAAAAAGTCACAAACAGGGCTGATTCCTTGTTTAAAAGCTAAAGAGCAGCATGGACAAGGCCCAGGGGTGAAAACTTGGCGTTGTTTTATGTGTAGGAACCAGGATGTGGCTCCTACGTGTAAAACGTCATGTGGTGCTGCAATTACTTCTTTTCAGGCGATGGTTTGAATTTATTTTTTATTGGAAACTCAGAATATGGATGCAAATATCTAGAAGGATATTAAAGGATAAAAAGGATGCCTTTAAATAGTTACTGAATGTGTTGAGAAAATTTGCCACTTCTAAATTTCCAATTTAGTAGTAAGGACTGTTGGAAAACACTCCCATAATTTATTTTGAGTGGAGCATGACATACCACTTGGTAGTAGTAAAAGTCATACTGACAATGACCAAGTATTCAGTCATTATTTCTCTTCCACACTTGTTCTGTAACCACAGACTCTCACTTCTTTCCATCAGGATAACCAAATGCTCCCCAAACCTCTAAACATGCCTGGGCAGTAGAGGTTTTGTTTTAAATTCGTCAGTGCTACTGTTTTACTGCTATGTTGTTTGTTAGGTTTTTTCTGGTTGAAACAGGCACATGGAGAAGGCAGAATAATGAATTAGTGTGGCAGCAGAGTGTATGTTTATGGTTGATTAATAATTAAATAGACAGTTGATTAATGGGGAATATCATTAATAGCTGCCTGCATGGTTTCATGGAGAACAGATCTTGTGAAGCACTCCTGGCTTCATTCTCTTAATGGTTTGGTTGATAAAGGTACTTTATGGGATATAGTAGTGCTTACAAAGTAAAGCACTTGGCTCAGTAGTACTGTGGTTTAAAATTTAAATTTTCTTTTTTAAAGAGTTTGAGAGTGGTAAATGGATGAAAGTGAGTCACATGAGGAATCTGGGACTGGGTGGGATCAGAAACCAGCTTCCTTCTGTTCAGCATTTGGTTTTGCAGTCTTGAAAGTTGTATGTAAGATAATTAATTTAAAATTTAATGTGGCACAAATATTACTGGAATAGTAGTTAATGGTGGCAGGACTTGGTGTATGCTCTCCTCTTGATTACGTGGTGAAGTGAAATAACTCAGCATATTTCAGCACACCCTAAACTTGCAGCCCATTTCATTCTAGTTAATCACCTGCACTGTTGAAGACTTCTATTTTTGCAGTTTGACCTACTGAGTCCTAATGAGGACTAGCTCTTCATGTATTTCTTGTGCTATCAATTTGGCTGTTTTCAGCTGTCTTAATTCCAAACTTTGGTATTGTAACTTCAGTTCCTTCTTTTATTTTGAAGGGCTCATAGGGGTAAGGATTTTGACTTTGGGGGTGTTATATATGTGTAACTTGAGCAGTTACTTACCCAGAAAAGCACAGTGCCTCTGGTTTCTTTTGAGCTGCCTGTCTTGATGCTGTATTCCACAGAGCAGTCTCCCCTGGGTTCATTATGCTTAGGTAATTGTATTTTTGCTGGCAGCGTTGTCTCTGAGCAGGTTTTGCTGTCACATAAGAAATGCCCCCCAGCTTCAGTTTAATTCCTGTGGCTGTTTGCAGCCAAACACCAGATGTCACTGTTGCAGTTTCTCTGGGAGTGTGTACAGGCATATGTGCACATATTTGTGTGGATAGGCATTTATAAGTTACACTTTTAAAACTGGAAAATAGACAGGTTTTCCCACCACAATTACCAGCCTTAAATATAAAAATTTTCAATAATCTAATAATAAATGTCTATGGCTGCCCTCTCCCTTTTGCGCAGCCTCTTTCAATCACTTTTAATCATCACTGAGGTGAGCAAGTATTGCACTGGATAGTTTCTAATAAATTCAGTATAATGGTGTGTGTCTGCTTGAGGAATTAATTGTAACAGCACATTTACAGTAATACCTCGCTCTGAACTTGGATAACATTTACATGTGGAGCAAATGGCACTAGTGAAGGATTCTTGTTATAAACAATTCCTGATACTTTTTTTTGCTTAATTTGTTTCCTTTTTTTTTTTTTTTATCCCTAGGTTCTGAGTTAAGCTCAGAACTTCCAGAAGACAGCTACTCTTCGGGAGATGAAGCCCTGGATGGTGATGATGAAGATGAAGCAGCACCCCCTGGCAATGTGGCTGAAGAGGCAACAAGCTCCAAAGATGGCCCAAGTTCAGGATGGGCAGATGCCATGGCAAAAGTGCTCAACAAAAAGATTCCGCAGAATAAGTCCACCATCTTGGCCAAGAATAAAAGCCTGGAGAAGGAAAGAGAGAAAAAAAAGCAAGAGAGGCAAGAAAAGAAGATGAGGGTGAGAAAAAGATGCAGTATTCCATGTGCAGTGACTGTGAGATGGGCTACATGCAAGATAGTCTCAGAGCACTGTCCCAAATCTCTGCTGAGTCTGTCTCAGCTTTGGAGTCTCTCCTTCACAGTGATCTTGAGCAGATTAATTTTTTTTTATTTTCCAGTCATGCTGTGTAAGGTTTTTTCTCTTACTGCTTCTTCTGGGTCATCAGGCAGGCTGAACATTGGCAGCAGGAGTGTTCCAGTCTGTCAGCTTAAGATGTTTTCTTTTTTGAGGGCCTGAAAGCAGCTACTTTAAGCTTGATTTTCTACTTGGCATTGTTAATTTGGGGTGAAATTCACTTTGTTGGTGTTTCAAATTGAAATAGTTGTCTACCATAGAAAGTGAGAGGGAGAAAGAGAAGAAGACTGCTTCTATTTAAATTGTACTGTGACTTCCAAAATCAAGGCCTCTAGGTTGAGACTGCAGTAATCAATGATGTGGTTGTGCATTGTTGTTTGCTCCCCTCAGTCATGAATAGAAAATAGTTTTCTCAATAGAAAACTTCTGATCGGAGCTTTCTATTACCATGTCTGTGCCCTAAATTGCTTCTGGTTCTGAAACTGGTATGAAGAAACCAAACCATGTTGGCAAGTCATTTGTTTGTGCCTTTAGTGGAACTTTTAATTCCAGGCTCTGATTGATTTCCCTTCAGGCTAGAAATACATTAATAGTTTTAATGTCTCATCCTACCAGTTCTGTTTCTGTGGGATAACCAGGTTATTCACCTGACAGTTTGGGACATGCTGCAGTTGGGCCGTGGCTTGCCTTTAAATTCAGAGAGCTTCACTACAGCATCTGCACAGTTATGGTTGTCCTAAATACCTGCTCTCATCCAGTAAATATGTGAGAATACTGCAAAACAGAGATGGGCCACAGGTCCCCAAAGTGACTTGTTTGCTTTAGAAAAACTTGAAAGCAATTTGCCTTTCATTGATTTCTTGCTGATGAAAGGTAGGATAGGGCAGTTCTTTTGATCAAAGGCCAAAGCATGGTCATAAACTCAGAAATTCATAGTAGTCTGCCTGTAATTATAAAGATAAGGACTCTGAAATTCCATTAGAGACTTCGTGCATAAAACAGATTTAATGGAACATCACCAGGCCTAAAACACTGTTAAATTGTTCAGAGAGGAAGAAAAACTTACTCCTAAAGCAGAGGTCATGAAATACAGTGGTCTCCTATTGCAGCAGAAACAAAGCTGATGGTTTTGTGTCTGCTGGTAGGGAAAGGGGACCAATTTGGTTTTGAAATGGAGAGCCTCCAAAAAATAGACAAAAACCAACACTGTACACATGACTTGTTGTCTGGTGGACACTTGGTGCTCTTCCTGTGTTAGAGTTCTGCCTGTTGTACTCTTTGCTGAGTGTTGCTTTGGTCACAACGCCATACTGGGACCAGTTCTGTAGGGGGAAGTCAAATTCTCTCTGTTCAAAATATGACATGCCAGTCTTGATGGACCCAGGATTTTACTATGTATAAATTTCTCTGTGATCAGCTTGTGAAGTCTGGGATTTGAAGGCTGTCTTTGAATAATTTCCTTGCTCAAGGCAGTCGTGTGAAAGCATCCTTTCCTAGGCTTTTGCTGCTGGATGTTGATGACTCTGAGATCTGAGTGTAGCCCCTGTTGTGTCAATGCAAGAGACTTGTCCAGCCCTATATTGGAGTTCCTTTTACTTTCAACCAGACTGAACTTTGTAGATACTTTTTTTCCTCCTGCTACATACTCTGTCAGGTCATGCTGCATTCTCAAATGTCCATGTTGTTTCACATAACAATATTTATAATGCAGCTTGATAAAAAGCGGGAATGGGAAATGATGTGCCGAGTGAAGCCAGATGTTGTCAAAGACCGAGAGAAGGAAAGAAATCTTCAGAGAATTGCCACAAGGTAAAAGTTTTTCTGAATGCTTTCCTTAAATGTATGTATATCAAAAAGAGGAGGAAAAGGCCTGTGCAGGTAATCTGTTTCCAATCAGATTGAACTCTTAAGAAGTGACTAGCAGGAGCTGTGAGATTTATAGACAGGTCTGCATTGTACAGTATCAAGTTCAACAAAAGATTTCAGAAGCTTTATGAAAGAGTAAAAATTTAGATGGGAATCTAATGTTTGCTTAGCAGAAGTGCTTTGGATCCCCTCATTTTGTTAATTTAATGCCTTAAAATGCAGAACAGTTGTTACTACTGTTCTGGTTTTTTGCTTCTCCACAGAGGATTCACCAGATCCACAGTTCAGCTGCCTGTTCACATTGTGGTAGTTTGATGTCACAGAACTAGTTGAACATTTTGATGTGCTGCCTGTATGTCCTTACTCATTCCTCTGCCCTATCCCCCAGCTTCAACTGCCATTAAGAAACTTGCTTGAGTAATTTAATAACTGATTTTAGGACAAATAACATGCTCCCAAGGATGAAACATGCTCAAGGATGAAACTGATCTCAGTGCCATGTTATCAGGCTTACTTCAGAGTCTGAATAGTAGATTTGTTTGTTACTGGTTCCTAGCAATAAGTATGAAGGAGGAGTAAAAATTGAAAGTCCTTTATATTCTAGTAAATGTTACTTCTTAACCAAATCGAGGTTCCAGGTAACCATTTTGGGGAGTTAAAAGCCATCCAGCATCTGCACTGATTGGCTTTAGTCAGGGGTTCATTTCTGTGGAAGGAACTTGAGTTAAAAGATTTGCTTTGTTGTCTTTTTCCCTGTCCCAGAGGTGTTGTACAATTATTCAATGCTGTCAGGACACACCAGAAGAAAATGGAAGAGGAGGTGAAGAAAGCAGGGAGCTCTGAGAGGAAGCGTGCTAAACTGATGTCTTCTGTTTCAAAGAGAGATTTCATTGATGTTCTAAGAAACATGGAGGGGGCTAAAGGAGCCAAGAATCCTGCTGGAAAGGCCACTAAAAGTAAACAGGTAGGCTTCATCTGTGAGAAAAAAAATCTTACAAAATACCTTCTCAATATAATGACTCTCTGTTAATATGCTTGCTCTTCATAAACCTCTGACCCCAATGGCTGGGATGTTTTGAGACTTGTGGAAGGGAACAAGTAGCCTATTTTCCCTGTCTTTTGACTATCAAAGTACAAAACACTGGAAGCTCTTCTGATAAGACATGGAGCCTTTTATGCACTTAACTTGGTTTAGTTATGTTTAAAAAAGATTATGAAACACTAGATTTTGTCTAGGATTTTACACCAGGCATGGAACAAACTGCTAGATTCTGGTGGGTTGTGACATTTGGAATTTGGCCAGTAATAGTTATCTCCTTGAAATTGTTAAAGACCTGGGGGCTGTTCATCATACACAGTGTGTTAGACAGTACTTGTGTGTCCCCAGAGTTTGGTCATGTCAAACTCGCTTCCTCTGGGTGATTGGTGTCTGAAACTGAAGGTTTGCCATACGAAATGAATACCACAACAGAAGAAACACAGGCGTATTAAACCTTATATGTAGACTTTTCTTTCCCCGATTCTGTGTGCGTTGGGCTGGTGTGGCTTCCTTGCTCTTGAGATGTTTTGGAAAGAAATACATTCCACTTTTCCCAAATGTGTTTGAGACACAGTGTAGTTGGACTCATCCAACTCTTCATCAGTTCTTTCAGCTCACCAAGTAGCTCAGGGTTGAAAACAAGTTGCCCAGACAACTCTTTCTCGTATTTCAGAAGCTGCACGTTTTTGAAGCGTATTTGTGTTCAGGATTGAACTCTGTGCTTGGTGGTGGGTGGAATACTGTAGTTGGCACAGACACTCTGCAGTTAACTAAGTGCTTTTCCGTGCCAGCAAGAAATACTGGGAGACAACACTTTGTCATATGTTTTTTGTTTGTGTGCACTTGGGGAACATGCTGAAACACTGCCTGGCATGGAGTGCTCATACAATTTTCATGCAAGTGCAATATTAAAGTATTTTTTAAATTCTTTGGATAATGAGAACAATTTAGCTTGGTGCTGACACTTTATTTCTCCTTAAATAATTCCAGCTTGCTTGTTTGGGTGGGGGGACATGTGTATGTGTGTGGTTCTCTTTTTTTGGTTCATTTGTTTGTTTCTCCTCCCTTGGAGTAGCAAAATATTGGAAGAATGGCAGTGCCAACTACTATTGTAGTCAGCATTAAATCAATATCTGAGCAAGAACTAGGACCTTTGTTTTGTGCCACATTGTAGCAGGGCCATTTTTTAATTGCTAGGTCAGAAAACACAGATTGCAAATGTTTCTATGCTAAAGAAAAGTTTTATTTTGGCAGCATCAGTAATAGCATATTTCTATTCAAGACCTCTGGAGATGCTATAGCTGCTGGCTGGTTAGTCTTGGGTTTGAGTATTAATGTAGGTGCTGCTTTCACATTGCTTGTGCACAAAAGCTGGGGTGGGGATCGGGATTTTTGGTTGGGTTTTTTAATTGTATGTCTGCCTAGACAGACCACCCCCCTTCCTCTCTCCCTTGTTTCAGTGATTCTTCAGCCTTTGCTTCAGTGACTCTCCATTCAGTTTAATACTGAACCAAACTCTTCAATAACTCCTTTTCAAGCTGTTCCTAATCTGCCTTATTTTCTCTTGAGAACATATCTTACTCATTTAGCAAGCTCCCCTCCTGGTAGTTGTTGAGGGTTGAGGTTGAGGCCAAAATCTGCTCTTCATTCTCTTTCTCAGAATTACACAAATATTTAGCCACTGAACACTTCTGCTGGCCTCCACTGCCATATCTCTGCTTCTTGGTCTTTGAGAGTGTTTCAGAGGGTAGGAAGCCTGGATGAGGTTTTTCGGTAGTAAATTCCTTGCAGCAGGGTTTCAGCAGATTGCTTGTGCCATCTGAAAGCTTTTGTTTGTTTGTTTTGTGGGTTTGTTTTTAGCAGTCAAGAGTATAGAGTGTATTCCTTTTTTAAAAAGGGGGGGAGATACATTTATTTATCTCAGCAAAAACAATGGAAGAGATGCCAATCCCAAAATCCAGGCACTCTGCCATCAATTAAAAGGCAGTCCAGAACAATAAAAACATTACCCCACCCACATAAAACAAGCAGTCAGCAGGAAAAATAGCAGAAAAAAGTTTTACCAGTGAAAGCAAACCTTTTTTGACTCAAGTCTTGTGCTGTGACAAGAGACTTGACTGTATTTTGAGAATGGGTGAAAGCATTTTCTTGCTCTGCAGGAGTTTTTAAATGCAAAATGTGCTTTGCATTTTTAAAAGTTTGGCAATTTCTTTCAAGTGTCAGGGGCTGTTGAAGAAACCCCTTATAAAGCTCTGTTGATTGACTGTTTAGCCAAGTATATTTATGTGTGAAAAAAAGAAATTAAATGCTCTGTAAAGGCCCATCTGCAGCAGTATAATTTCAAAGTAGCATGACCACTTTTTAAATTTTGTTCTCTGTTTCCATCAGCTTTATGCGTGCCTGGGAAGGGCAGGTAACCTGTGCCCCACTAGAACATTGTTCATAGTCTTGTTTACTTTTAGCCATTGGCCTAAATGTTACTTGGCATATACCTAACCAACTTAACTATGAAGGAAAGACTGTAAGGCTGTGTAAGTTTTCCTGTGCCCTTCATGTGAAATTGTAGCCCTTCTTGGAGTTCTGTGTGCCCAGCTGGGAGTAATTATTTTTCTGAGCTGGAGCCAAAAGCTTTGCCTTTCATATCATTTGCTGTTTATCAAAGTATTTCTTAATCCTTGCTGAGCCAGCTGACTTGTGTAATATTTTTTCCTGTTTTTTTTCCAAGTTACTATGCATGATGCTTGCCTCTGGGTAAGATCATCTAATTTCTCTCCCCTCACCACCTTGTCTGAAGCCTTGCAATGTGGGAGAAAAATGTAGTCATTAAAAAAAATAATAATAAAAATCCCACTTGTTTGTGTTCAGATGGGCTTTAAGTTTTGGGTTGGGCTTTTTCTATGAATCTTTTATTGGCAGATATGAGAGCTTTCAATTTGTTAAACAAAATCCTTACACACCAGCTTTTCATTTCATAATGTGTTGGTCATATCTTCTTGTAAGAGACTACAAGAAACTTTATGAAACTATAGGTTTAGAAAGGGTACGTGTCAAAAGCACTGTTTTTTCATGCCTGGAGACTGAAGTTATTTTATGTCTATAGAAAGAATACAGAAGTAGGTAGTGGCAGTAAAGGATTCCTTGTAGGAACCTTTTGTTTTCTTTAGGTCCTTAATACAGGGTGCTCTTAGGAAGTACCCTTGCTTCCAGGGTCGAGTGAAGTTTCTGTTCTCCTAGAGTTGCACAGATAGGTTGGCTAATGTACCAAACTACATGAAGTCTTGAAATCTTAATTGTAAGAAGACAAGCAAATTCAGAGGAAATTCAGAGTTATTCTCCACGCTTGCTGTGTATTAGTTACAATTTCATTGTGACTTTTGTAATTTGTGCTGGTCCCTGTTAAGCATTTTACTGTGTGGTAAAACATTTTTTAGTGACACATAAACAACTGGCATGAAAGTTACAGATGCTCTTTAAGACAAGCATAACCTGCGCTCATTGACCTTTCATTTTTTATTAGGACTTTGTAGAATGGTTTTGCTTCAACTTGTAAACTTTCTTAAACCAGATCTGTTGCAGAACATTTCAGTGGTGAAAGTAAGAGCAGGATTTCCTGGTCTACTTCAGTAACCATGATCCAAATTCTGCAAGGTAATCTTTCTGTAAGCTAGGCTCACTACATGACCCCAAGATACAATTTGCTTCCTGTGTTGGGATGACATCTGGAAAAAAATGGTGTGTTGGTCTCAAAATAGTACCTATTCTAAAATAAATTATTGATGGGAAGGAAGATGAGTGGAGAAGAATATAAGTGCTATTTCATAGCAGCGATTGCTGCTATGGGACTTAAAGTGCTTTTCCAGAAAAGTTACTCCTACCTCAAGCAAATTTTATAAGTGCTCCAAGTATCTGGTAAGTAATTTGTAAGGATAGTGATTAGAGTCAGACTTACTATAGATTTTTCTTCTGTTCATGAGACTTTATTTTAAGCCGTAGTGTGAAGATTATTCAAGGGCAGGAGGAATATTATGCTTCCAACTTTGACCACTGTTCTTGCTGGGGTACAAGGATTGTCATGGGGGCTTTCATTTTTTAAGCTAAATGGGGTATAAATTATGCTTTCCAGCTTAAAAGTCGCATCAGTTTAAAAACTGAGAGTGACTGCCTTCTTTTCCTTGCAGCTTCTTGAGTACTGGCCATCAACTTAGTCTGTTTCTTTCCAATGCTTTTACAGTGTAGAAATGGGGAGGGTGAAAAAAAAACCAACTGCTTTCATTCATATACCTCTTTGGAGTGACAATAGTCTGAACAGTTACTTCAACCTGCATTGTGAAATTGTTTCTGAAGTGTGGATGAAGGCAGAGATGACTTCTGGAAATTTGGTAAGGTGTATCAACACCTCTTTCAATCTTATCAAGAAACTTCCTTAGGTGATAATGGCATTGCAGAGTAGCAGAAGTTTATTGCTACAGCTGTTGTGTGCTGGTTTTACAGACCTAATTGAAGGAGTAACCAGGCATGCATGTATTCCAGCAGATTTGAGGGGGCAGCCAAGTATTAATTTAGTTCAGCTGTAGCCAGAGTAGATATATTCTCCCAGTTTTAATAAATGTCTTCCCATCACATGCACAAAAACTTTTAATTTGGATTCCTTTGGAATCCTGCATTTTTATCTGTTTTCCTAACTGTATGTACATTATCTTGAAGGTTACCCCATATATGTTTGGAGCTGATGCTTTTAATGAAGTTTTTTTGGTTTTGTACCAGAAAGTTGCTGACAACTAATTGTATGCTGTATTCTTAGGGATAAATGCAGTGCAACCTGCCACCAGTTTGCTATATCCTATATTCCTTATGTTCTTTAAGGTAAAGGGTTGTTGTGCAGTACTAAAGATTGTTTGATTATGACATTTTTCTTTTAAATTTGT